AAATATAGATAAAACACACAAAAGGAGTGGTGATGATGCAAAAGAGCTAGGGGATGGTAATAAAATATGAATAGAACTACGGGGCATTATAATAGAGAAGTAATGGAGAGAAAGATGCATTGTTGAAAAGATCGGAATTCAGAGAAACAGCGAAAGGAAAATACGAGTAGCTCTTATAAAATCAGAGGTTGAAAACATTTTAAAATGTACAAATCCTATTTATGAAAGTTCCAGGTGAAAAACTTTTCTGAATTTTTGTTAACCACATTTACAGTTTTTGATTTCGGAAGGCAGTTCAAACCTGGAACAATTGTCGCAGAGAATTCGATCAAAGATTTACCATCTTCGGCTTGTTTCAGAATTTTTTCCAAATTATTGAAATTCGGAATTTTTGAATTTCTGAATTTTTGAATTTCTGAATTTCTGTGCTTCTGAATACAAAAATTCAAAAATTTCAGAATCTCAGTAATTCAAAATTTTAGAATCTTATTGTTCGAAAATTTAGGAGTTTCAGAGTTTCAGAATCTAGGAACTTTTGATTTCTAAATTTCTGAATTTCCTATTTCTGAATTTCGAAACTTCATATTTTTTTTGCGATTTTCAGAATCACACAGCTTTTTGGAAAAAATTTTATTAAGCAACAAAAGAAAAACATGGATTCTAATGCAGTTTGATTTCTTTGCCATTTTCGAAAATTGGAGAGCCAGAAGCTGGAACATTCTTTGAGACCTTTTCACTTTGAAAATAAAGAACACTTACATGATCAGGCCCAACAATAATTATTGAAAAGTTTCGAATATTCAGAAAAGATATGTTGAAAATTCTCCAAACCCATCCATTCAAAGGGGTTGCGGAGGTTTTCAAGAATTCAAAGATAGATGTTCAAAAAAATCAGAAAGGACTTCCATGCAGTAGGGTGTCTTAGACGTCTATTCAGTCAAGGCGTCCGGAGAAGACTGAGACCCAAGGGCCAGAAACTTGAGTGGATCACTGGATAGGAGACGCAGACATTGAGGATGAAGCAAGAAGCGAGGAAAATCCTGATTTGAGTCGGAGTTTAAATGCAATTATGTAGAGGCACATCTAGCACTGGCTGCCAGTGGCAGTTCGCGTCAGTTGGCACCACAAGTCTCGACTCACGACAGAGATACGGAGCTGAGAGAAGAAAGAAGATCTCCGAGTCACTGAAAGATGAATGGAGTGAAAGGAGGAAAAGCTACGGAAATCTTGAGGGACCAATTGAATTACAGGACTTCAAATAGAGGAAACACAAATTGAATTGCGCGAGGGAGTGGGCTCGTTCCTAGTTCAGAGGTCCCAAAGTAAAATAGAGGTCCAAAATTCGAAAGAAGCAATGTAACATCATTAAAACTGCTATAGGAAATAAAAATTGATGACATACTTTATATATTAATGAAGGTTTTACTGTTTCGTCTACTTTCTTCACATTACAGTGATAATTGGGAAAGCCCCCAAATTGTCCCTATCAATAACACTGACATTTTTCAAGGAGAGAAGAGGGGGGGGGGGGGGGGGGAGTCAGATGGAAATAGGACAAAAATAATAAGAAATAGATGGTGGAACTCGAAGAATTTCACTAAAATCTTTTTTGTTATCAATTTCAGAGTTTCCATGAAATTTTTTTAAATTTCAAATTTGTGAAAAATCCAGTCAAAAAAATGTTTCATACAAGAATTTTGATTGGGTTATCACCAGATCGCATTTTCATTATTTGAATGCTATTTTTCAAATACAGTGGTCCGCATAATCATTGTTCCACCCTGAAGTTTCACTGGAACACCTATTTAGATCAAGTTTCATGAAAAGGTGTCAACCTGAAAGTTGTAGCCCTTCTTGAGAAATGGTACCTCAAAAAATTCGGAGTCGACTGCGTGACCCAGAAAAATTTCCTGACCGAAATTCCGAAAAACACGTTTTTTCCCAAAATCATTGTTCCACTCTCAAAATCACGCTTTTTGGGGAAATTAGGTAGAGAAAATCCTGTTGATAATTTACAAAATTTTGGAAAGAAGATCAGCTGTGTAGAATTTTTTGCTTAAAAAAATGAGAAACAAACAAAAAACTGAAAATTAGTAATCTCTGAGTCCTCAATGCATCTGGATAGACTGGAAGTTGGAGTGTCTATCGAAAGATACCGGTTATCAGTAATTTGTTGACCAACTTGGCTCGAAATATCAATTTCTTGGTTCATCCATAATCTGATAGTCTTTGTCAGTTTAATTAAGAAGTTCCAGACTTTTTTCGGTTGAATTGAAGTCAAGTGAACATAAAGTCTATGTAGGAAGTATGATGAGACAATATTTGAGCAACTCTGAAAGTCTCCCAATCTTGTGAAAGGGGAAATGAAATGAAAATGAATTTGTGATTACGGTGTCGACGCCAGAATGTTCAAATTCCTTGTCTCAGGTCGTAGCAACAATCAACGGTAACCATTACTCTTGCTACAGAGAGTTTCAATCACCCTTCTGATGATACTGTCACCAACAACGTGTCTACCTAATGTATCAATACCTAAAAACACGTTTATGAATGAGTACTCATCCCTAAATCGAAAAGATCTTCAAAGTGGCTCAAAGAAAACCACTTTCAAATGTTCACACAACATAAACCTGATAGAAAATGAATGGGCGTTGATGGTTCATATGCTTTACAAAACTAACAAACACTATCAGATTATGGATGAACTCAAAAAACCTAAGAAATTGATATTTCGAGCCAAGTTGGTCAACAAATTAATGATAACCGGTACCTTTCGATAGACACTCCAACTTCCAGTCTATCCAGATGCATTGAAGACTCAGAGATAACTAATTTTCAGTTTTTTGCTTGTTTCTCATCTTTTTAAGCAAAAAATTCTACACAGCTGATCTTCTTTCCAAAATTTTGTAAATTATCAACAGGATTTTCTCTACCTAATTTTCCCAAAAAGCGTGATTTTGAGAGTGGAACAATGATTTTGTGGATGGGAAAAAACGTGTTTTTCGGAATTTCGGTCAGAAAATTTTTCTGGGTCACGCAGTCGACTCCGAATTTTTTGAGGTACCATTTCTCAAGAAGGGCTACAACTTTCATGTTGACACCTTTTCATGAAACTTGATCTAGATAGGTGTTCCAGTGAAACTTCATGGTGGAACAATGATTATGTGGACCATTGTATATAATGAAAACAAAGGCCTTGAAGTTTTCTAAGTCCAAAAGAGAAAAAAATGAAAAAAGGTAACATATATTAGACAGATATATGTGTCTCATTTTTTAAAATTTATACTAGCTATAGTTCTTGGCTTCCTAAAACCCATAATTAAAAAAATGCTCAAAATTTAATTTAACACATTTTACTTGTCAAAAAAATTGTATAAAGTTTTTAGTTTTGGAGATGTGCATGGCGTTGGATGTGGAGTCGGCGTTGGTTCTGCAAGCTCTCAGTCGGTGTGCACAGGATATGTCAGTGCTCGAGGAACCAACGAGGAGTTGATGGAGGATTCTGAAGGATTGTGTTTCAATTGGTCATAAGACAGTCGAATCTGATTGGATAAGGATTTTCTGTTTTTTCATTGTTTTTTGAAAAATATTGTTGCTGAGATTTTAGACAGGTATCCAGTTTTATTGAAATTTTCAGGCATTCCAGATAACCTAGAAATTCAGAATTTTAGAATTATAAAAATTCAGAACCTCAGAATCTTCAAATTCTCAAATTCCGCGTAACTTTTTTTGCTTAGCGTTCTCTCTTTTGTGCCACGTCAACCATTCCCAGTGTGCACAACAATGGCTAATCCCTGAAATTTTATGGCCTAAATTCTTTTTATTTTTATGATAATTTCTGAAAAAATTGCCATGTAATTTGAAAAAAATTGAGGTTATTGATAGAGAAAAATGATTATTTCCAAAAAGTGATTTTAAAAAAATTGTATAACATATTCCCACGACATTCTTCTTCCCAGAATCACAGTTGAGTGTATGTACACAATAAAAGTTTTATTATCTGCAGTGACACTCTATTGTTCCCCCTTCACCTATTCAAAATAAGTATTTATCCTAGACAGTATTTTTTAAATTCTTGTTAGATTAGTCTAAAGAATACAGTAATAAAACCATAAGTGTGATTGTAAATTTACAATCACACTATAAATATGTGGAACGGTGAAGACGTGGTGAAGGCCCCGCCCCCGACTCTGCCTATATAAACCTTCAAGTAGCACCCATTTGTATTCATTCCTCTTTCGCCCACAATAGATTCCCATACGTCCTTTTGTATGGACGTCGGGAATCTAATCCTATTGATTTTTTTGAAACTATTCCCAGTCTTAAATATTCTATAATGCTTCTAATTCTACGTATTCTTCTACGTCACATGATTGAGATTTTAAGGTGAGTCAGCAAAATACGTTTGGATAATGCGCTATTTAGAACGGAACACCCAATAACGTTTTCCCAAAATGATCATTTTAAAAAATTATCTAAATCGGAAAATTCAGAGAATTAGATCCAAATTTTTCAGCTTCCAAAAACTTTTTTAATCTCTGGTTTTTTTAAGTTTGTTAAGAAATTTATGAATTCGAAAAATGAGGTTTCTTCACATATAAATTCAAAAAATGAGATTTCTCCGTGAGTTCATGGCGAATAACATTTAACATTTCGAGTTTTTTTAGTCCCTGTTTTTGTGCATTTTTGAAGCTCTTTGTTTTTCACTGTATATAGACTTGGTAACAATTTTGGCTCTTTTCTAGTTTAGAGGTCCGAAAAAATAAATTAAAGGTCCCAATATAAAATAGAGGTCCAAAATTTGAAAAAAACGCACAGATATTGGAATAGTGTACCAGAGTTTGGAGGTTTGAATTTCGAGGCTCTATAGGATGATACGTGCGGTTTGTCTTTCTGATGGACCCTTTTATTGAGAAGAATACTAACAAAGATGCCTCATTGCCCATGTCTCGCTTTCCGTATGAAAAAAATGCGTTGTAAACGTGATTCTTTTTCCAGAAATGCCAAATCGTCGTGTTGCAAGACAACGCAAGAACGCTACTTCTCATCAAGGGACATCCAAAGGAATCAATTTGAAGAGAAGAAGACTATGTGACTCTTCTGAATCCGAATCAAAACAGGATGCTCAGGTACAGTTTCCCTAGAAAATTCTCTGTTTTTTGAAAAGTGTGTTTTCAGGAATCGAGACCCAAGAGAAAACTTGCACGATGCGTTACTTATGAAGATTCAAAGATGGTCCGACTCATAAGAAAACTGAAAAAGGGACCATGGATTCTAAAACAGATGACTTGTCTTCATCGTCATCTTCGTCGTCTTCAGAACTGGAATCGGACTCTGACGATACGGTATTAAATTTTCAATGTAGTGAAATATTTAAAAATGAATATTTCAGGATGTCGTGGAAGAAACGGACAATGAACAAGCGGAGGAACCAATTCAGGAGACGATCCCAAAACCTGGAGGAACAAAAAATGGAGAGATGTTTTTTGCTACAAGTGTTGTATAAACATTCTCAAAAAAGAAAACAAAATAATTATACGGAAGAACAAAGAGAGATTCTCCAGGCAATGCTTTGTGAGACTCATCATCCATCAGAAGAGCAGAAGAAAAATTATTATTCATCTAACACGATGCAATGTTTGGTTTTGAATTTTAATAAATTTTAATATGACAATCACAAACCTCTCCTAGAATCCAATTGAAACTGATCCGTTTCAAACGAATCGTAAAATGTCAAAAGCATTTTCCTTTAGTCCACGAAGTAATGTAAGTGGATTTCAGTATCTTGGCAACTTCAAGAACCAGGTCGATTCGTATGTTTCGAAGGACTAGCGTCGGAACTTTTGGAACAGAAAACAAATTAGTTCCGTCCTCCACAATTTGGCAAAACGTTTTTCTGCAATAAAAAAGGTGTATTCGGGTATTTTTTGTTATTAATATGGAATGACTCCCAAGTGTTGCCCTCGAAAAAAATTGAGACGTATATGGTTAAAAAGAGCGGAAAAAGTTATTCAAGAATGATAAAATTTTTTTGGGAAGTTACGGTCCAAAAAGTACCAAAAAATGGCTGAATTTTCAAAAAATCATAACTTTTTCAGTTTATGTGCGTTTGTTAAAATTCTAAGAAAAGTTGATAGATAAACAAAAAACTTTTAAGTAAAATTTTTTGATTTTTTTTCCTATTGATTGGATTATTAATTTTTTGAAAAATCGAAATTTTTTTCTATATCTCAAAAATTCCAGGTTAGCGTTTTTTTATTATTACCATTGAATTCAGCACATTTAATTTACTATAAAAACATGACAATACCCCGGGGGATTTTTCATGTTCACTCAAGTTTTAACAAAAAATTTCGATTTTTGGCTTTTGGCTGCTTTGAATTCGTTGTCCTCAGCGGCCGGTATGGTGAGGGGCATACTTGTTTTTGTGGTTATTACATGCGTATTATTTGCTTAGAGTGTTTACAACACAATTTTGCGACATCCAACACCAATTATTCAAATGCCGTACCATTTCTTAAAATCATCAATTTGAAAAAAGCAAAATTTTGACATGTGACAGGGCACATCTATAGTTAGACTTGATGGAAACGGCCAAACTTTTGTTTTAACATAATCACAATGACAAAATCTTGTGTTCAACTTGAACAGAATTTTGAATTAGGATCTAGAAATGAATATATTTACGATTATTGCTGCCGGACAACACTTTTTTGTGAAGTGTGACATGTGACAGGGCATATATATAGTTAAACTTGATGAAAACAGTCAAACTTTTCTAAAAACATCATCAAAAAGACAAAATATTGTGTTTGGTTTGAACAGAATTTTGAATTAGGCCCTAGAAATAAAAATATTCACTGATGATGAGACACTTTTTATTTTTGATCATAACTCGAGAATGAGCAAAAATTTCAAAAAACTGTAAACGCCATTCGATTCAAAATCAAAAAATATTATTGTAAAAGTAGTATCAGTTTGGTTCGTGTGGTGGAATTAGGTGTAACAGATAATGGTCGAGTTCGATAATCCAAAACTGAGGGATACCTTTTAAAAATCGTTCATTTCACCTAATTCCATAAAATGCAACAAACCAATAACGCTTGTCTAGTGGTATTTTTGATTTTGAATCGAATGGCGTTTACAGTTTTTTAAAAATATGTTTGAGTTTATTTTGAAAGTGATGCGCTTAAAAATAAACTCAAGCACAAACAAGTTTGAAAACAAATTGAATTTTTCGATTTGTGTGCTGGGAAAAATTCAAAAACACGAAAATTTCAAAAATTCAAAAAAATTTCGAAATTAGGCGTTTTTCATATTATTTTGGAGAACTTGACCTGCCAAAACTAAAAATCAGAAAGTCAGATGAAAATAATATAAATCAACAAGATTTCGGGTTTGTGAAAATTTTCTAACTACAGTAACCTTGCTGATTTAAATTATGTTTATCTGACTTTCTGAATTCTAGTTTTAGCATGACAAGTACTTCAAAATAAATTGAAAAACGCCTTATTTCGAAAAACTTTCACATTTTGTAATGTTTTGGTCCCACCACGAAAAATTCAATTTTTTTCAAATTTAGTCGTGTTTAGCTTCATTTTGAAGCGCATCAGTTTGAAAGACGATTACAAGAAACATCAGCAAATTTGAACCAGAAACAAAGAAGTTACAGTAGTTTCGAGATTTCGGGTTTGTGAAAATTTTGGCTCTTTACGATTTAACGGGGGTTTAGAAAATTAACGGGAGCTTTGAGAAAATTTTGTGAACTGATGGGGGTTTTGATAATTAACGGGGGTTTCCAAAAGGTGTCAGGGTTCCGTATCTTAAGGAAGTAAGCCAAGGGCTCTTTTTACATCCTCTGCCAAGATCCACACTTTGAGCCTCTACAAAAGTGGCCAAAACTCTGAAAACAGTTCTGAAAATAGTGACATGCATGAAGCAAAACTGGAGCTATAAATTTGTGTGTGACAACTTTTTTGGAAAATTTGAGCCTGGGGAAATATGCATCGTGAATGTGACAATAAAGAGTCATTCGAAATTTGGTGTTCAAATTTCAGAGAAAGGGGAGTCGAAAAGGTCTAGCCAGTATAATATGAACTCAGAAAGGTGGGGTTAAATGAAAAAGAGGGAGAATGAACATTGAATAAAAAGAATAATATAAAATCATTCAACAAATGAGCATGAATGTGTCTCAAATGTTTTGTTCAACAAAGGGAAATTCCAGGAAATCTAAGTTCAGGAGTTTAGAAAATTAGATGTTCTGAATTTCTGAATTTCTGGAATCCAGAAGCCAGGAAATTTTGAAATATCAAGAAGTTTAGAATTTTCAAAACTTCAAAAAAATCTGCTATTTTGGAATTTTGGAAGTCTGAAAATTCGAAGGATTTTATCCTTTAACTTTTGTTCGAGCACAGCGGACCATTTTCCGAATCCAAACACCAACAATAATCTCGATGAGAAGACACCCAATTAGGAGCAGGGCCAAGCATCCAATGGAAATTGCCAAGAAATCCAGAAAGGAGGTCCTCTAGATTTCTGTGGACCCGGTGCGGTATGGATTTTCTGGGATTCTGAATAAAAATCACAATAGTATGACAATGTACTTTAAACCTTACTGGGTAGCTGTTTCCGCGGATTCTCCAGAAGATTCTTCAATCGATCCATCGGCGTTTCTCAAAATATCCAACTGATCGTTGTCCGACGAGGGCAATTTATTTTGATTTCTAGCCGTTCGTACTCCTGTAGTTTTAAAGGATTAGGCAACGACTTCGACAAATAGGGTTAAAGAAACTTAAGGTGATTTCTGCAGAATTCCATAGCTTCTATATTTTTTGAAATTGTTCATTTCAAAAAATCTTAAAAAGTATGTTCTCTTATCATCCAGATTCGACGTCCGTTGAATCCATTCACTTTCCTGTTTGATTAAACGAAAATAAAATTGAAACTCACCAAATGTTGTTCAGAAAAATAAATAGAAATCCTTCAAAATCCATTCAGTTTAGGATTTTTTTTAAAGATTCAAATAGAGAAAAAATAAATTTTTACAAAAATAAGGGAAACTTTCCTAGCCCATTCATGTTTAGGACAACGAAAAGTCCCCGGAATATTTAGGCTACCATTCAGTCAGGCTACCAAGCATACACAATGACATTGGTTCGCGTTTTTTCTTGTTCTGAGAGATAGTGAGTATCAGAGAAAACGAGAGACGTGTGTTCTGAAAAGCAGACGACGAGAGTATCGAGGAGAAATGATAAACGGAGGAAATCGAAGTGATTGTGACTCACTTAAATGTGAAAAAAACAAAAACAACTAGACGCAGAGAACCCAGAAAACTGGGATCTTTTGTTTTTTGGAAAATGATGAAATGTGTAAAAATAACATAAAAATAACATAGCGAGCGGGGTTTAAAGGAATATTAGGGTGTTCAATAAATAATGTCGTTTTTTGGTACCACTCATTAAACGAAGATAACTTCAGCGAAACTCATGTTCATCAAACAAACTATGTACCATCTGAAAATGTAAAGAACATTCAATTATAGATAGCGAAACAACGGTTTGAAAAAAATGAAAAATGTCAAAAAAAGCAATTTTTCACTGCGCCATAATTATGGAGCCACTTCAAAAATCTTGCCATCATCACAATTTCTTCACTCTAAAAAACAGATATTCAAATTTTCCGCTAAAAATTGATATTTCCAAAGCAATTTCTAAACTAATTTCAGTAGAAAAATTTTCGGTTACAAATGATTTTCGAAATTTTTTCACAAAAAATGGAAGGTTTGCAAAAAACACTTTTTGCTTTTTCCAAATTTTTTTTCAGGATTATATAAGATTTGTCAGATTGTTTATAAGAACCTGTTAAACATTATCAAATGCATTATTTAGTCTACCAAAGCGCGTAAAGTACTGATCAAAAGGTGCAAACGTTTATCATATGAGTTTATTGAAGCTAACTTAAGGCAAGTCAAAAATATAGTAAATATGACGGAATACATTTGAAGCTTCTCAGATTTATTTACCATAAATAGAGCTTTAATTTTTTAGTTGGCAAGTTTTTATCATGACTCCATCCAAAAAAGTTATTTCAGCCATTTCAGCCAGTTTGGCTGAAATGTGCAATTCTGCCGGAAAGCTTACACAGGAGCAAAGTTATTTACGATTTATTCCAACTAGGGTTGGCTGTGGGGCAAAAAAGGGCGATTCCCGCCCCGCGCGCCCGGGGGGCGGGAATAGCTAAATTATTTCAGTTTTTTTTAAAAGGTATCATGAAAAATCNAGACTTCTGTTTTTCAGTAATTTATCATCTACCGTCAAGTCTCCGGCTGTTGATTCGGAGTTTCGAAACTTTGCGCTTTCAACAGTTCCGAAGACGTCCAAGAGCGAGCTCAAGGGATACAAAAAAGATTTCAATAACTTCCATCCAACCGCAGCATTCAATCAAAGCGCTCGACAATGGACCGGA